ATTGGATAGGATTCTGAGAGATAGTATTTATGATTATTTGTAAAAGCACAGTTTGATTAGAAATAGTCAGCATGGCTTTGTGAGGAACAGGTCATGCCTCACAAGCCTTATTGAATTCATTGAGGATGTGACAAAACACATTGACGAAGGCAGAGCAGTGGACGTGGTGTATATGGAAGTTAGCAAGGCATTCGATAAGGTTCCACACGGTAGGCTCATTCAGAAAGTTAGGCATGGGATTCCAGGAAATTTGGCTGTCTGGATACAAAACTTGCTGTCCAATAGAAGACAGAGAGTGGTAGTAGATGGAAAGTATTCAGCTTGGAGCTTAATGACCAGTGGTGTTCCGCAGGGATCTGTTCTGGGATCTCTGCTGTTTGTGATCTTTATAAATGATTTGGATGAGGAAGTGGAAGGATGGGTTAGTAAGTTTGCCGATGACACGATGGTTGGTGGAGTTGTGGACAGCGTGGAGGGCTGTTGTAGGTTGCACCGGGACATTGACAGGATGCAGAACTGGGCAGAGAAGTGGCAGATGGAATTCAACCCAGAAAAGTGTGAAGTGATTCATTTTGGAAGGCCGAATTTGAATGCAGAATACAGGGTTCATGGCAGGATTCTTGGCAGTGTGGAGGAACGGAGAGATCTTGGGGTCCATGTCCATAGACCCCTCAAAGTTGCTACCCAAGTTGATAGGGTTGTAAAGAAGGCGTATGGTGTGTTGGCTTTCATTGGGAGGGGGAATTGAGTTTAAGAGCCATGAGGTCATGCTGCAGCTCTATAAAACTCTGGTTAGACCACACTTGGAATATTGTGTTCAGCTCTGGTCACCTCATTACAGGAAAGATGTGGAAGCTTTCGAGAGGGTGCAGATGAGATTTACCAGGATGCTGCCTGGACTGGAAGGCAGGTCTTATGAGGAAAGGAGGAGGGAGCTAGTGCTTTTATCATTGGAGCGAAGAAGGATGAGAGGTGATTTAATGGAGGTTTACAAAATGATGAGGCATAGATAGAGTGGATAGTCAGAGACTTTTTCCCAGGGCGGAAATGACTATTACAAGGGGGCATAATTTTAAGGTGATTGGAGGAAGGTCTAGGGGAGATGTCATAGGTAGGTTCTTTACACAGAGAGTGGTGGGCGTGTGGAATGTGCTGCCGGCAGTGGTACAGGAGTCAGGTACTTTAGATAAGCAACTCTTGGATAGGCACATGGTGGATAGTAAAATGTAGGCAATGCAGGGTAGATTGATCTTAGTAGGATAATAGGTCGGCACAACACTGGGCTGAAGGGCCTGTGCTGTGCTGTACTGTTCTGTGTTCTATGTATGTTTTATGTTAAACCTGCTGAGTTTCTTGGCACTTTGTTTTTTTTTGTTCACTTTTATCAGAGAGAGGCAAACAGAGCCAACTTGAAGGTTTCTTCAAATTGAAGGCACCTATTTCTTCAGAGCGCAATTGGTTGTATGCACATTGCCTTGCTTGTCTGTGGCCATAAGCAGCATATTGTGCATTTCAGTTTCTAGTAGCTGACATACAATAATACATAGCTATCTGCTGTGGCCATTGTGTTTTAGTCACCATGGCAAGCCAACAGATGTGTACTGGATGATGAGGGCCATCAACGACACCAACTCCATGGAGTACACATCCAGAGTCTTCAACTACCCCTCATATGACAAGCCCTTGTAAACTTTCTTTGGACCTCCTCCAAGACCAGCAATTCCTTCCTTAGATATGGGGCCCAAAACTGCTCTCAATATTTCAAATGCTATCTGACCATAACGGTAATGGACAGATATTGGGGAGATAGAATGAGAGTTACTCACTGCAGAATTCCTAACTTCCGACCTGTCATGGTATTTATATAGCTTGTCCAATTTCGTTTCTGGACAATGGTAACCCCCAGGGTGTTAATGACAGGATATTCAACAATAGTAATGCAGCTGAACATCAAAGTGTGATGTTCAGTGGTATTACCATATCTTTGAAATGACCATTGCCAGACACTTGTGTGTTGTGGATGTTGCTTGCCACTTTATTAAAATTCACCTTATTTAATATTAATAACTGAACTCTAACACAATTTATTGAATTGTCACAATGTTTTTACAATTGCTTAATAAGAATTTCAAATAAGTAGAGAATTAAAATAGGATATAGAATTATTGACAAGCTTGATGCAGATAATTTTCAATATAAAAATACCCAATATTAAAAATGAAAGTCTGCCTTCAGCAAATAAACTATTTTTGTGCATTTTTATTTAGCTAATGGGGTGACAACCATGTAACTAGATTCAAAATGTGGGAGACAAGTACGGCTCCCACCACTCTGCTTTGCAGTGTTGCGCAACAACCTAGCTGTGAACAACATCTCAGCAGCAGGTGGGAAATTTTTTATCTACGCAGTAGGCTCCAGTCTCAATGCACAGAATCATCGTGCTGCCATTACTTGAGGTTTCTAGGTCTTTTACATGTCAGTTGAAATAAGTGTGTCTGTTTTGAAAATCAGTACTGTAATTAATGGAAAACGTCAATAATTCTTAATTCGCTTAAAGGAACTTCCCATGACTGGCGACTTCGCTGTGATGCCGTGGATGTGTACTATACCTTGTTTGGCCTCAGCAGACCATCTTGCCTTCCTTTACCAGAGCTCGGTCTTGTGCTCAACTTGAAGGAAAAGAAGACTGTTCTAAATCCTATTATTATACCTGAAACGGGAACAAGTGGACAAGAGACTGTAGGCAGTGCAAGCATACATGGATTAATGTCTGGCTTCCAGACAAATGTAAGCGAATAATAGTATTTTCAAGCAATTAATTTTGATGCTGATTCAACTCTTTTTCAAGTTTATTTGCTACAAACAACATTGGCTCATCTAATATTATCTTCAGTTCAAAATTCTCATCTTTGTTCCAACTCCTCCCCAGTTGTCTAGACACCAAGGTCTGAGTTTTCCTTCATCTCTGTCTTTTTAAAAGGGTTGTGAAAGATTCCCTCTTCAACCATATATTTGGTCAGTTGTTCCTTCTGAGGTGCGTTATTAGGTTATGTTTAATAATGCTGCTCTGAAGCAACTTTGACTGCAGTATATAAGCTAATTATGCACTTATTGGACATAATTTAAAAACAATCAAAAATCTATTCTTTTTGCAATGAGTCTCCTTTACTAACACCTCTATTCCAGGATCAGAGCAGGCATAATTTAAGTGCAGTGTTTTCAACCGTTTAATTCTCATTCATCTCCTTCCCTCCAGAAAATTAAGTCATTATAAATACTGTTTCCATCAAAATTAAGGAAGCTCCTACAGATGCTGAAAATCTTAATTAGGCAAGTTTGATCTTTAAGTAGGTTTGGTTGCAGGCTAAACTACTTGTACGAGTTAGCATCTTTTCAACATGAGTGCTGAAAAATTTGAGGTAATGCTCATTCACAAAAAAAAGGTCTGTTCTATGAGGTCATCAGGATGTAGCTTCATTTAAAAAAAAAGTTAATGTTGATGCTACAAAACAAAATGCTGTGGAAGTTCGTATTCTCTGACAGAACCACTTTTAATCCAAGTCTCTTGCCTTCTGATTAGCCATGTTGGAAATTATTCCTTTCATTTTCAGGTTTCTAAGGAAAGTTAATCTGATGAAACATTAATTCTAAATATTGGCTTCATCAAGTGAGTGTTACATCTTTAGGTTTTGTATCTTTCTTTACCAAGTTATCTTCTATAATTTACCTTTAATTTTGTTTCCTTTCCTGTTGCCATCAGCTCTCTGTTGTATTTTACATTAGCAAAAATAAATTCACCATTCCTCAGTCCATTGTGAAAATGATAGATCTCTCTCAACTTGCCTTAAGCTTCAAAAATTTGCTCCATTTGTACATTGTCAGTTAAACTTGCCTTAAACTTAGGGCAAGTAATTGAGTGCAACTATCTTTTTAATAACTAGAAATATGTTCCTACATTTCCACTGAACTCTTTGATCTAGAATGGGAACGCACCGAATTTCTTTTTAACGACACCTATGGGACCAGGAGTGATACTGGTTGATCAAGAGGTCCATATAATCAATGTAAAAACACACAAAGTAATAGAAATGTAATAGAGTGTATACACATCACTGTTATACTTTATTTACAGCGTAGATCACTTAATGCAACTTTGCCTGAAGTAAAACTTAGCAGCACTTCTCACTCGCACCCTCAGATGACTACTTGGACATCGGCGAGATCTGACATCATTTTTGGTAGTTTATTGAGAGTGCCGGTTCATCAGTTGCCAATTAAAACACTGTTAGCAGTATTTAAAACTATGGAATAATTCCTGAGGGTAGAGAATCATTGAAATTTTATGTTTAAAAAACAAGTACACATTCAATTTCTCAATTCCTTCCTTAATCCAGTCTTTCCTTTCCTTTGTTTATTTTACTTTCCATTTGCTAATTTTATTCTGATTTGCCCTGTTTCTTTTCAGTCCTTGAATGTCATTGGTTAAGGAGATAATCTGTTAATCCCAAATATTTTGTTGTGTGTCAAGAAGTTTTAGTGCAAATTATTGTCAATGTATGTGATGTTGGAAGTCTAATTGCATTGGTCATAATGTGCTTTGGGGCACCCTGAAATTGTGAAAGATGTTCTTCCCTTCTTGCAGTGTAGCAGCAGGATTATAAACCTATAATGAGTTTCATCTGAGAGAGCAACCTTAGTTTAGTAGTAGCCCTGCAACTCCAAATTAGTCTTACTCAAGGTATTTTTCAGAACCTAGATTGATAGCTCTGTTTAGTACTGGTTAAGTGTTGCATTGTCTCATGTGTCATCTTTCAGATTAGATATCTGGCCTTCCTGCCCATTAAATTTAATGTAGAAGGCCCCATCACAATGTTTATCCATCAATCACCACGACTTAACAACAGTATAGCTAGTCACTTCTCTCTCTCTCTCCTTTGTGGAATCCTGCTATGTACCGATTGGCTGATGTATGTCCTCTCACCTTAGAAATGAATGAATTTCAAAAGTGCTACTTTGAGAAGCAGTTAAGAAGATTCTGTACAAAACAAAAAAAACCTTAAAGAACTATGGATACTGGAAATCAGAAACAAAAACAGAAATTGCTGGGAAATCTCAGCAGGTCTGGCAGCATCTGTGGAGACAAAGCAGAGTTAACATTTTGGAGTCCAATGACCTCCATCTGAAGGGTTCTGAAAGATGGTCAGAAACGTTAACTCTGTCCTGTCTGTACCCATGCTGCCAGACCCAGTTTTTCCAGAAGTTTCTGTTTTTGTTTGAGAAGTTTCTGTGGCCTTGTAAGGAACTACATAAATGCTTTTTTCTCTTTCCCAGGAAGAGGAGCATCTTACCAAAGACTCTGCTTCCACTGGGTCTGGAGTTCCGCCGATCATAAAGAGAAAAGCTGAGACACCACTTGGTTCCCCATTGGAACCCGGGCAGGTTCTGGAGAAGGATGAAGATAATAAGGTTAAGCTTAAAATCAAAGTAAGGATGTTCTCTTCAATCATTACAAATACAATTTATAGAAAATGGAGAACTCTTCGTATTAATTTAAGAAAACTAAATTGTTGGAAATGCTGAGCAGGTAAAGCAGCATCTACGGTGGGAGTAATAGACTCTATTTCAGATGAATCAGCTTCCATCAGAACTAGAAGATGATCAGCTTTTGATCAGCACAGCATAGGAATTTGGGGATGTCAATGATGCGCTGAAAGGCAGAAGCAATTAAGTGATAAGTTTGTGATACTGCAAGCCAGAAAGAGGCAACAATCATACAAGTTTGAAAACAAATAATGCGCTCACAGGAGATGCACATAGTTGCAACAGAGTGGAGAAAAGGGCATGATGCAGGGAAAATGTCATGAGGAGAATGTGCCTGTGGATCAGGAGTGCAATGGAAGAAATGTACATAGACCCAGGATGTGCACATCACTTTACCAGCTGTGCACCAATAATGTGTCCCAAATACCAGCTCTCACCACTTACCCCTCCAGTGGCTCAGGTGCAGCTCTTCTCTATCCTAGAGAATAAAAAGTAGTGTTAGTTCTAAGTTTTAAACGGCATATTGAGGTAGGAAAACTGTAAAATGAATAAAAACAAAACGAGACCTCGAACTTGTATTGAGCTTTGTTGAAACTGTCTGGGAGATGAAGGACAAATGTCAGAGTGGAATGAAATATTAAAATAGCAATAAGTAATTCAGGATCGTGCTTGTGCTCGAATTGCATTGCTGAATACCTTACTTGGCATTGGCCTTCCTAAAATCAAAACTTGCATAGAGTGTACAAAGCTGGAAAAAGTGCAGTTGCTGTATCGCTGACAGGAATATTTCGAGCCTGGATGATGGGAAGGTAACTGGCATTTGTTGTGTTTGGAGGTGTCAGGAGGAATTATCATTTTGTTGAGGGTGCAGCATGTCATGGAAGGAATAGTCAGTGAATAATGTTAACTTGAGTCTACTTTGCAGCTATTTTCTTCACTCTACCTTTGTATCAGCAGAAAATCTGAATGCTGTTTACTGAATACTTATCCAAAATGATTTTGATATAAAATATAAATAGTTGAGGCCCAACCATTGATCCTTTCTAACCTGCTGAAGTGAAAATATCTTTTTTTATTCCATTATTGTTTTCTGTTCCATTAGCAGTTGTCAATACATATTCTTAATATATACCTTCACATCCAAGATCTTAACCTTATGCAATAATTTCCTATGTGGTACGTTTTTAAATGCCTTTCGGAAGCCGAAATATAATACACCTTGCTGGGTTCTCTTGTCTATCCCTGATAGCTATACCCTAATAGTTTTGTAAAGCATTATTTCCCTTCCATGACACCATATTTCTTAGTTATGTGATTTTTCCAAGTGCTGTATCCCTATTAGCAGGATTCTAGAACTTTCACTTGTATAGATGTTAAGCTATCTAGCTAATAGAAAGGTCAGCTCGGAGAAGGAAAGAATTGGGTGGAAGTTGTCGTTTGTGTACTTTATCTTTAGGAGACTTCCTCTTTAAGACCTCCAGCTACTGTTTAAAAGACTGCAACTCCACCTACCAGTCAGTTTGTATGCAGGTAGCACTTGCATTGAAAGCAGTTCCTGTGCTGTAATATTTATTTTAACAACCTGTGTGTTCCTATTCAATAAACTATGCCTTCCAGCTTTGATGAGTGATTCTTAGAGCAGTATCATCAATATGATGTGACTGGCAGGTGTTTAAAGCTTTGAAACAGTCAAAATGTAAAGAATCCACAAAATACTTAAAGAAACAGTGAAAGAAAATCTGCAGAGAAACAGGAAAAGAAAATGCTGTAGAGCAGTGAGTATAACTTTTAATGAAATATGCCTTTAAGGAAACAGAAATTGGATAGCCCCAGAAAAATTGAACTGTTTGGAACTGTGTACAAGAAGCAGAATTGCATTGTTGCTGCAAGAAAGCTGTTTCTGAAGTTAAAACAAACCAGTCAGACTGGGGAAACAATGTTGAGGACTGAAAAACTCTAATCGAAGCTGGAATTTAAATTTAAATAAAAATCAGAGAATCCCATTACTGCCATTTTGAAAGTAGGAAAATACTGCCATTTTCTAAGAGAAATCGAGAAGACTGAGTAGACTCAAATACTTGCTGTAAGAAATGTTCTAAGAGATTTATTGGAACTGAAGATGTTTGAACCTTCAAAAAAATTTTCAAATATAGTAGTTCTTCCTTTCCCCTCTTCGTTCCCCCACCCTCACCCCAACCTGAGAATTTAAAAAAAAAATTATGTATACAATGTTTTAATAGCCAATTAAGGAAGATCAAAGACATTTTGTCAGAACGTCTGGTAACTTGGGATACAGCAGACTTCTTTACAGTTTTAAATGTTCATGTGGATTTTAGGGAGCTATAGTCTCTGGATTTGGATGTGTCCAATACAGATAAGCAAATAATTCAGGTTTGCTTACCAGTGGGACTGAAGGTCCATGTGGATTTAATATGTCAGGCTTAACAGCTGAGGAGCCAAAAGTTACACAAAAACATATGGACTACATTTAAAAGACCAATTTGGACTCGGATTGAGTTTCTGTATTCGTAACTAGAATTTATGTAATTTGGAAACTTACAGAATCCATGGACCACTTCAAGAACAGATACAGAGGAAATATGCCGATTGGTTAGAATTGTTGAGCTAGTGTTCATGACTATGGAATCTTTCTAAAAAGATTTGCTACATAAATTGAAGCATTAAGGGCTTTAAACTTAATGGGGTGGGGGGATGGGTTAAGTTGTAGGGGAAATTAGAAAACCCAAGTTAAAGGAGAAGGTAAGAGTGCAGATTAGCAATATGGCAGATGGTTACCAGATAATATCAGTGAGGGACAGAACAGGTGAATGCACCAAGGAATAATAAGAGAGCAGGGTAATTTACTGGTAGAACAAATTTAAAAGCTTTGTATATAAGTGCGTGAAGCATTCGAAACAAAATTAATGGCGCACATAGAAACAAGAGGGTATGATTTGGTAGCAGTTACTGAGACATGGTTACTAGGAGTCCAGGTGTGGGAATTGAATATCTGAAGCTACTCAGCATTTTGGAAAGATAGACTGAAAGGAAAAGGAGGTGGTTCAGCTTTGCTGGTGAAGGAAGGGATCAGTGCTTTAATGAGAAATGACGTAAGCATAGTAGACTAAGATGTGGAATCGGTCTGTATAGAAATAAGAAATAGCAAAGGGAAGAAGTACTTGGTAGGAGTATCTATAGGTCCCCAAGCAGTAGTTCCGCAGTGGGGCACAGTATAAACCAGGAAATATTAGAGGATTGCAAGAAAGGCATGATGATAATCATTAGCGATATTAACATGCATGTAGATTGGAAGAATAAAATTGGCAAGAGTAGCCTGGAGGCAGAGTTCATTGATTGTATTAGAGATTATTTCTTGTAGCATTATGTTGTGGAACCAAATCCAGAGCAGCCTGCTCCCTGGTTGGTATTGTGTAATGAAGAGAGATTAATTGATGACATCATAGTTAAGGATCCTTGAGGGAGTTGTGACCATAGTATAGTAGAATTCAAAATTCAGTTTGGGAGTGAGAAAGTGGAGTCCCACAGTAGTGTTCTAGAATTAAAGGGAATTACATAGGCATGAGGTCAGATTTGGCCTGAGTAGATGGGGCAAGAAGGCTAAAAGGTAAGACAGTGGATGAGCTGTGGCAGTTGTTTAAGGAGCTACTCAATTTCTTGCACCTAAAATATGTCCCAGCGAGGAAGAAAGTTGGCAAGGGGGTAAAAACATCCATAGCTAAACAAGGAGGTCAAGGACAATATAGAGTCAAAAACTAAGGCTTACCATATTGCAAAGGCCAGTGGCAGTCTGGAAGATTGGGCAACTTTCAAACATAAACAAAGGGATACTAAAAAAAAATAAAAAGAGCCAAGATAAACAATGAAAGAAAACTAGCACAAATATCAAAAAACGGTAGCCAAAGCTTCAATAGCTATATAAAAGGGAAGAGAGTTGCTAAGGTGAATGTTGGTCCCTTGGAAGATGAAACCAGAGTTAATAATAGGGAACACTGAAATGGCAGAGATGTTAAATCAATACTTTGCCTCAGTTTTCACGATGAAGGACAATAGTACCATTCCTGTTGGAATGTGCAAGTCAGAGGCGATAGAACTTAGAACAATCAACATCGGTACTCGGCAAACTTTTAGGATTGAGGGCAGACAAGTCCCCTGGGCCAGATGGCCTGCATCCTAGGCTATTAAAGGAAGTGGCGGCAGAAATAGTAGAATCCAGAATTCCCTGGACACGGGAAAGGTTCCAGTGGATTGGAAAAATGCTAATGTAATGCCCCTATTCAAAAAGGGAGGGAAGTAATGTATGGGAAATTACAGACCAGTTAGTTTAACATCTGTTGTTGGGAAAGTGTTAGAATCAATTATCAAGGAACCATTTGGAAAGTCAAAACACTTTCTATCAGAGCCAGTATGGTTTTATGAAGGGCATATCATGTCTGACTAATTTGCTAGAGTTTTTTTAAGATGTAACCAGCAAAGTGGATAATGGGGATCCTGCAGATGTAATATATCTGGACTTCTGGAAGGCGTTTGATCAGGTGCCATGCAGAAGTTTAATTCACAAGGTTAGATCATATGAGATTAGGTGTAATTTATTAGCTGGATAGGTGACTAGCTGATGGAAGAAGACAGACAGACAGTCAGGATAAATGTTTTTTTTTCTGGATGGCAAGAAGTAACTCGTGGGGTGCCACAGGGTTCGGCCCTTGGACCCCAGCTATTTGCAATCTACATTAACGACTTGGATACAGGGATTGAAGACTCTATAGCCAAATTTGCAGATGACACAAAAATGGGTGAGACTGTAAATAGCAATGAGGAAATAACCTTACAATTGGATATAGATAGGTTTGGAGCGTGGGCCAAAATGTGGCAGGTGGAGTTTAATGTGGATAAGTGTGAGGTCATGCATTTTGGTTGGAAAAATGGGAAGGCGACCTACTATCTAAATGGGGAGAGACTTCAGGGCACTCTGATGCAGAGGGATGTGGGTGTCCTCGTTCATGAGTCACAGAAAACTAACATGCATGTACAGCAAATAATAAAGAAAGTGAATGGAATGTAGGCTTTTATAACTAAAGAAATAGGATATAAAGGTAAGGAAGTACTGTTGCAACTATACAAGGCATAGGCGAGACCACACCTGGAGTATTGTGCGCGGTTTTGGTTCCCTTATTTGAGGAAGGATGTGGTGGCCTTGGAGGTATTTCCGAGGACGTTTCCCTGATTGATCCCAGAGATGAGGGGTTTATTGTATGAAGAGAAATTGAACAGTTCAGACCTATACTCTCTGGAATTTAAGAGAATGAGGGAGATCAAATTAAGCTATTCAAGATGATAAAAGGTATCGATAAAATAGAAGTGGAGTGGATGCTCCCTCGTGGGGCATCCTAGGATGAGAGGTCATGGTCTTAGGATAAGGGGTAGCAAATCTAAAACAGAATTGAGAAACTCCTTCTCCCAATGGATCGTGATCTGTAGAATTCACTACCCCAAAGTGGGGTGGATGCTTGGACACTGAGTAAATTTGAAGAGGAGGTAGACAGATTTTTAACTGGTAATGGGTTGAAGGGTTATGGGGAGAAGACAGGAAAATGGGGGTGAGAAGCATGTCAGCCATGATCGAATGGCGGAGCAGACTCGGGCTGAATGGCCTAATCCTGCTCTTATTTCTTATGAACTTATAAGTCAGCATGGGCAAATACCAAGATACTACCCTGCAAATTCTAAAAAGCATGTACCCACAGTGGGAAGCCATGAAGAAATCTACAAATATGAAATTCTTGATCTATAATGGCTCATCAATTCCACCTGCAATGCCAGTAGTGCTAGGGCGCAAGAACAATCAATGTGCTTGGATTCCTCAAATGCTTTGGGACGTAGTCAGCACTGAACCAGCAATCGCAGGTAAGCCATCATGCTGTGACACTGCACTAGTTATAACGCGAAGAATTATTCAAACATCAGAGACACCAAGAAACCACAGCACGCTATTCAAGAAACACTTGCAGAATTGAATATCAAAGAAGAATGAAACACCTTACTTTCTTCTGAATGAGTGGACCTAAAATCTCAGCTATCTGCTGTGGAATGAAAAGTGAAACTTCGAGATCAAAACCTGAACAACTAGTTCAGAATAAATTAAAATTGAGAATAAGGTCTCGGAGACTAAGAAGTCTTTGAGGGATACCTACATTCAGTTCACAAATATGAGCAAATAGCTGAAAGAGCAAGAAAGAAAGCAGGATGAACCATAAATTGTGAATTGTCAATCCAATGCAAATATTATCACTCTGTGGTAAGATCACCAGCAACTTACATGTAATACAGATCAGGTTCAGCATGAGTAGCTGCAGAAGCATCTAGCTCGAATCCAAAACAATGCTGGAGGAAATGACAGATATGCAAAAACAGATGGCGATACATAATGCACCGAGTAAGGAGCTGTGGTCATTTCAGAAATAACTGGCAGCAATGCTGATTCTCCCATGAGAGAACTTGAGCAGCAACACAATAAACCAAGCAACCGCTGAAGCAGCAAGTAGAAGAGGTCGAGGTTTCCAGGAAGACGTTGAAAGAATAAAACAACTTGATTAAACAGGTGCAGCAGACAGTACTATGAATAACAGGGAAAAACCAATAATACCTCCAGATAAAGTCGTCATCACGAGATCTCAGCATTTCAGTAAACTGCCTTTATTATAATAACTTACAGATTGGCTTGTTATTATAAATATTTAAACTTTCTTTTGCAGAGGAGGGAGATTTTGTATGCCTACTTAGCCTTGAAGAGATTTCACCTTATAAGAACTCCAGTGCATATAGCTGCAACTCTGCCTCCAAGTTAGTGTGACTTGTTGGCAACACATACTAAAACCAGTTGCTCTGCTGAAATATTTGTTTTATAACTTAGTGTATTCACTGTTTTAAATAACCAAAACAAAGTAGCCCTGTGGAGTGATTACAACGAATTTGTAATGACTACATACTAGCTATTTAGTATGTTTTAAATCTTATCGTAGTAAAATTGCGGTGTGACATTTCTGCCTTATGAGAAAAGGTTATTGATGCTGAATTTTTATTTTGTTTTAGTTTTCTAATTCTCAAGAAGATGAAGAGATTGACATAGACTCTGTTCATGATAGTCAGGCTTTCATTTATCACCAGTTAAACATACTTGAAAGACCATCCACTCCAGGTAAGAAAAATCTCAAATTGATGCATTTACTGTGAGAAGAGGGCACCAAGTGGTACACAGAGTTGGAGTTATCTGACATATGCCAGTGCGTATTTATTGTGTTACAATTTCAGATGAAATCATCAAATCGCATTGTCATCTCTGACCAGACTGCCAGCTTTATGATTTACTTAGGGATCTGAAAACATTTGTTAAAAATAGTCAAAAGCTAGGATTGAAAGGATTTAGTAAAGGAATACAGCTAAAAGATTCCATTGTTTCGAACAAGCAGCAAGTTAAAACAGTGATGCAATGTATAATACATGTGCAACTTATTTCTAACACCCAGAATTAATATGTAAACTTGGATAATATACTTTGATCGAACAACCCACAGTGCATATTAGATATCACATGATCAACTCTGATCCCGTAGATTTCTCAAAATGCTTCCAGACGTTAATTACATGATCGGTCATCGAATTTCATTAAACTTCAAAGGATTGCAATTCTTTACTTTGGAAGACCTAGCCTTGAAACTCCCTCTCAAAAGACCCTCTATCATGGGCTCCTCAGCAACTGCTTCTCCTGTAGATCACCCTCCTGTCCTGGATCCACACTTCGTTAGACTCCAAAAACTGCATGCATAACATATTTACAGGCACGACTCCAGCTTTTTGCCAATGGCTAACTTCAGTAAGTTAGATTATTTTTGTGCTTTTGCTGAGCTCTAATCTTTCTATTTAAATCAAGCAAACACTTTTCAGCCCTTAATGACACCCAACTTTTTGTAAACCACCACAACTTAGTCTTAATCGTAGAGATATACAGCATGGAAACGGACCCTTTGGTCCAAATTGTCCATGCCGACCAGATATCCTATATAAATCTAGTCCCATTTGCAGTATTTGGCCTTTATCCCCCTAAAACCTTCCTGTTCATTTACCCATCCAGATGCCTTTAAATCTTGTAATCCTACCAGCCTCCTTCACTTCCTCTAGCAGCTCATTCTATATATACACCACCTTCAGCGTGAAAAAGTTGTTCCTTAGGTCCCTTTTATATCTTTCCTCTCTCATCTTAAACCTATTCCCTCTAGTTTTGATCTCACCCACCCTGCGGAAGAGTCCTTGCCTATTTACCCTATAAATGCCCCACATAATTTTATAAATCTCTATAAGGTCACCCCTTAACCTCCGAGGCAGCAGGGAAAATAGCCCCAGCCTATTCAGCCTCTCCTATAGCTCAAACCCTCCAACCCTGGCAACATCCTTGTAAATCTTTTCTGAACCCTTTCCAGATTCACAACATCCTTCCTATAGGAGGGAGACCAGAATTGCATGCAATACTCCAAAAATGGCCAAATCAATGTCCTGTACAGCTGCAATGTGGCCTCCCAACTCCTATAGTCAATCCATTGACCAATAAAGGCAAGCATACCAAATGCTTTCTCACTATCCTATCTACTTGCAACTCCACTTTTAGGACTTTACTATCTCCTGGAACAGTTTCTGTGTGATTTGTTTTTAACAGCACAAATATTCAACATTCTTGACTTCATTTGTGCAGTTAAATTGTTTGCAACACAACTAAAAAGCAACACTTTAAACTTGGATTCTATTTCCATTCCCCTTGACACACTTACTGACTCTCAGTCCCTTCACACGATCTTTGAACCCCTTTCCAGTGATCCCCGAACTCCCCTCAGAGCCAATTGAAAACCTCACAATAAACAATAGCTCCTCTATTACTGTGCAGAATTGAATGTCGTAAACGTAGTACACTTGGAATTACTTGTTCTAGAAGTCTTACCAATCCCCAAATTGCTGGAAAAATGGATATAACTGAAGGATTTCATTATAGTTGTCTCTACAGTTCACTCATTGTCAAGGTACAAACATATCAATGGTCAGGAACTGAAATCCATGAAAAGGTACAAGTTTTAAGCTTTCAAAAAAACAGCAAAATTAAAAAGTAAAGCTGAATCTGCCAATTAAATAGAGTCAGCATATATTAGAAAATAAATATATTTGTCTTGTTTCAATATCAACTGTCTTCAGAGCAAGATCCTCAACAACAGTGAAGTACCCTTGCCAATAATTAGTATTTGAATTGAATATTTGCTTTTAGTCATTTTAGTCCAAGAATGTACAGGTTAGGTGGATTGACCATGCTAAATTGCCCATAATATTCAGGAATGTGTAAGCTAGGTAGGTTAGCAATGGGAAATGCAGGGTTACAGGGATGGGTTGGGTCTGGGAGAGATGCTGTTTGGAGGTTTGATATGGACTTGGTGAGCTCTATGTCCTGCTTTTACGCTGTAGGGACCCTGTTATTTATAGTGATTATGCTATTGCCTATCAATGCCATTCAGCACGGCTCATTGTAGACCAGTTGCAAAGTTCAGTAGGCTACTGAAATTGCTGTTAAACAAGTCATAGGAAATTGTATGAAAACAGAAAAGTTGACATGCCCTTTGATTAAACTGCCTTTATTCAGTGCACCTCAATTCAACAACACCCATGTATGCATATGTTTGTGCAGACCTGTATGTCCATTCATGTTGTTAATGTTATGTTATCATTGTTATGTTATCAATTATATTGAAAGTCAGTACAAAATGTATATAGATACACAAATTTTCATATTTATAAAATAAAAACCAATGTGGTTTAAAAAAGTAATTATATGCCATTTTCATAGGAAAAGAAACAACAGCCATAGAAAATGCCATGATTTCCAATTCAGCTGCTCCACTTCCTTCACTTGGCAAAGAATCCAGTTCATCGAGACATGGGGAGCACCATCACCACCACCATCATGAACACAAGAAAAAGAAGAAAAAGCATAAACACAAACATAAACACAAGCACAAACATGATGGGAAAGACAAGGAAAAGGACATGTTTACTTTTACAAGCAGTCCAGCTAGTGGGCGGTCTTTAAACTCTCCATCAATTTCAGATTAAATTATATGGTGAACCATCTAAGCAGTTATCAAACATTTATATCAAATGTATATCAAACATTTTCAAAAGTAAAGGACTGAATGTGAAACAAGGAAGACTACTTCTGCCCCTTTCTTTTGTCAAACTTTTAGCTTTCTGAGGAAATAACCAAAACTGCTGTCAACAATGATCAAAGTACATGTCGAATGGAATCTAAGCCTCATTCCACTTGTTTGATGTGTTTAACTGGCTTAAACTAACATCTGCTGGTTTGTACAACTGACAATCATTGCTGCTTTCAAACTGTTGAAAATAAGCACCCTACCCCCGATCCCACCCTACCCCATCCTTCTAATTAATCTTTGTAACCATATTTTCCTAACGTGTCTACTAGTCTAGCGGGATCCTGCTTTACATTTCTCACTCTGATTTTGTGCTTGTTCAAATTTGTTGTTGGAAGTTGGGGGTGCAGTAGTTTTTCCAAGTAAAACCTTGTATATAACAAGCATAACTAAAAATGATCATGCTGTACAGAAAAGAGTTAGAGCCTGAAAATCCTGAGAATCTGTTGTACCAAAGCAACTGTTCCTTGGGTAAGGATATAGCTCAATCCCATATATAATGGTGAAAATCTTGAGCTTGTCCACAACCTCACTGAATATGTAAACTTGATGTAGAAAGTGGGTAGGAAGGGAAATAGGACAGAATTGGAAAGTGGTGGGGTAAAACGAGCGGAATCCAGGTGGACTAAGCTTGTATTTTCTAATCTCTTGCAAGCAATGCATCTCAGTTCCACAGTGGGGCCTATTGAACGAAGCTGCCACTGCTCACTGGCGTAGATGCACACTTAGTGATCCATCTTCCTCAATGATTTAGTTGCAAGTTGTTTTAAAAAAATTTAATGAGTTTACTGCCAACTTATTTTGCCTTTTAGTAGTTGCATATAGTTAGAAATCTCACTTGGGATACTGTATTAACTAATGATGGCAGCAATTCTTTTAGTTGCACCAAAGAACTTATGGTACAAGATATTTTAACAGACAATGGTTGTATTGCATTTACTCTGGTTTGATCAGAACTCAGGTGGGTCTGTGTAATAAAGATTGGTCTTTAGCTGTTATAGTGTCTGTTACAAGTAATTGTTTTCTTTTTTCTTATTGGCAAAATGTCTTTTCTGTCCCATTGTTCAAGCACTTCTTATTTTTCATTAAGTTTGCACTTTTCTTATTTACAATTGTTTGTTTCCAATATTTGTTTGAGTCATATTGTACAAACCTCCATTTAAAATTTCTCTTCAATCATACTCCTCAAAAATATCCCCAAACACAGTACAGCAAAAACCATATTAGAGCAAAAAAATTCTCTCTTGATACAGCTGTAACAACAGTTTCTCACCTACCAAACTGTACGGTCTGTCTGCCCTTTTAAACAATAGAAGCTCCAATTCCATGTTTTCCTGACTTTGTACAACAGAACCAAACATGATACATTGCAGCATTCCCTATCAAGACTTTAACCCTTTAACTTTACTATCAGGCTATCCTATAATTCCCAAACACCTGAGATTACAAACTCTAGTTTACACTGTTCATTCAGCTCATGTTCACTACAGCTGAATAGGTCGTGGAATTGGTGAGTTACAACAGTGATGATTTAAGTTTTTTAACTAACTATTTACTGCAGAAATATAAGGATACAAATTACTTGACAACAGGCTCTAAACTAGACTATACATGGCCAACCATGAAAGATCTAATAAATTAAAAGTATTTCTCACTTTTATACATCAGTGCTCATTAACCTGCTATTGTTTTAAATATAGCTAATAATACTTTTTCTCGGCTATATTAAATAATAATTATTGAAGGTCAAATAATTTCTACATCATAATATTTTGCATGGCCCTGCTAATTTGGGTATAGATTTGCTGAGTCGTGCATCTAAAATACGGTGAATAAGGTTTCTTTTTGTAAATTCAATAATGAGGGCATTTTCCATGTATACCTGGTAAAGGTAAAAGCTGCGACTTTTTACAGGCTTCTGTTTAGCAATACGTCTAACTTTGTAATCTTTTTCTTGTACAGGGAGATTTTGAAAGTGTTTATAAACTATGGATTCAGTGTATAATTTTAAGAAATTAGTGCATTTATTTAGTACATTACAAATTTTTTTGTGATGGATACTAACATACATGCAGTAAATGTAATTAATCAAATTAATTTTTTTAAAGCTCAGCTATGGTTTTCATACTTGTCTACAGTGCTAAGACACAGTTTGTGAATATTACATCAATTTTACTTTGAAAATGTATGTACTTTCCATTTATAATTCTGATGTAACGCTATGACAAAAATCAGCAAATATTATTTCTAAACTCGTTATTTTTAAAAAGTATATATTTGGTGCAGAGTTTTTTCAATGTATTTGTTTTAGTGTTGAGTTGGAAATAATAATAGAAAACTAATTTAAGAGTACAGGACATCAATGCAACAAGTATTTCTAATCTTATTAAAGTTTGCAAACAAAATATTCTGTAATAATTTGTCCCCCCAAGAATTAAAACCATGTTACTTTTATGCTGTATTTGTATACTCACCTCTTGAAAATTATTTGATTTAGAAAATATTGTTTAAAAGATCTTGTAAGCTTTACCAAGTTGTCTCCTCCATAAATTTGCCTTTGAGACTGAAATGCTAAATCTTCAAGTTTCAAAATTCAGCGCCTATTTAGTTACAATATAAGGATGCATTAGTCCAAAATTACTACATTCTGGGCTGGTACCAGATCTTAGAAAGGCAGCAAAAGTTGGACATCTTTTGAAAACAGTAGTACAAGACAAAAAAGAAGGCTGAAGATTTAGCATGGCTTCTTCCATCGTGATAAACAAGATGCTTAAAAGTCACAAATGCATACTTTAGATTATTCTGATTAAAATGGTTTTAGTTTTATCAGCCAAGTGTTCAGAGAGTAGGTCAGTCCAAACGTGATGTGAATTTCTTCAATTGTGTGTTTGGCAGTTTTTTAAAATAAAAAGATATGGTTATTTACACTTGTTTCATCTTGATTTTTCTTCTGGATTTGTTTTCAACCTTACTGGTTAAAATAGATTATTGTGGCATTTGTGTATTAATAGCCAGGCCCAATGCTTCTATTAATGAAAGAAATTCATCTGCACTAGTTTGCTAAGAAATCATATCTCTTAGTTGTTTACTTTCTTGAGAAAACAAATGTTTTCATAACTGGTGTAAAATCTAGCTTGTCATTCTCTTATTCTTTTATTAATTAGTAAATTTTTCGAGAGGAGAAATCTTGGTTGTAATGTGTCATTGTTCTGCAGTTTTCCAAAGTTGAGGAAAATCTTTGAGGATATATGATGAACTCAGTAAGTCAAAATAAAGTGGATCATTTTTTGCAATCCCTAATAATCTGTAGATATCTGAGTAATAACAAAACTGTCTAACATAGAGAGGAGGGCATATTTCCAGAGTATAAAATTGGAAGAATATATCTGTGTAAGAGAGAGCATTTTTTTAAACAAATATGACACAAAAAAAAACTGGATGTCGAAGGAACTGCAGAAACGCCTAAAAGGATACAAGAAAAGCAGACAGGATACTGACAGAAATAGTTTAACATAAGCATGAAGTAGTACACTTTGCATACAAGAAAGGTAGATGGCACAATAATTGAATTGGGAAATGAAATTAGATAGATTAAATAATTTATGGAACAGTCTACATAAAGTATTAGAACCTTGCTTGTAGATGCATAATGCAATTAGAAGACCCACCTCAGACTGAAATAGAAAAGCAAGTATGTAGGCAAATTTCACAAAATATTAGAGAGTGACAGTGGGGGATTTCAATTTCTCCAACATTTACTGAGGTAGTCATAGTGTGAAATGTTTAGAAGTAAAAAATCTTAAAATGTATTGAGGAGTTTTTTAAATCTCTATGTAATAGGCCCTACATGAGAGGGGAGCAGTCTTGGGCTTAATTTTAGATAATGAAGCTGGGCAAGTGGTTGAAGTATCAGAGTGAGCATTTTGTAAATGGCAATCATAACTCTATTAGATTCAGATTATGTTAAGAAATGAATGTCCTAAACTGTTTTTTTTTAAATGTGATCAAGTATGATTTGGTCAGATTGGACTGGGAGCAGATTCTTTTAGGTAAATTCATGTCAGAACATCGGGATACATTCAAGAAAGAAACAGTACAGGGCCAACATGTTCCAATCAAGATAAAGGGTGGGACCAACCAATCTAGAGAACCCTGGATGTCAATGGATTCCCAGAATTGGATAAAGAGAAAAAAGGGAGGCTTATGGCAGATACTGAGGGCTCGGAACAGCAGATGTCTTAGAATATAGAATGTGCAAGGGGGTACTTGGAATTGGGAGAACAAAGAGACTGCATGAAAGGATAATAGCAGTTAAAATAAAAATCCTAAATTATTTTACAAGTACGTTAAGGATGAAAGGATAACAAGGGAAAGAGTAGAGCCCATTAAGGATTGCAGAAGTAATTTGCACCTGGAGCTAAAGGACGCAAGTAGGGTTCTGATTTAGTACTATGTGTCAGTGTTCATTAGGGAGAATTTTGATATGGGTATAGAAATCAGGGAGAAGAACTGATATAATTAAAAATTTAGCATACTCAGGAGGTTCTAAGTGGTCTGACAGGTTTAAGTTTGATAAATCTCCAGGGTCAAATGAAGGGTATCCCAGGCTGTTGAGTGAAGCAGGAAGGAAGTAGCACAGGCAATAGTTTTCAATTCTCTGGCCATGAGAGGTGCTGGAAGATGGCCAATATAGTACTGTTATTAAAGAAGGGCGATAGAGATAAACCAGGAATTTACAGGTCAGTAAGTGGTGGGGTAACAATTCTGAGGGGCAAAGTTAATCTGCATTTGGAGAGGCAGGGATTAATCCAGGATAGTCTGCAGGGTTTTATTAAGGGGAGGTCATGTCTGACCAACGTGATTTGAATTTTTCAAAGAGGTGACAGCAATGGATTTGATATAATTTGCTCAGACTTCAGTAAGGCTTTTGATAAGGTTGCGCGTGGGAAACCAATAACAATGGGATCCAAGGAAATGTAACTAATTGGATCTAGAATTGGCTGATTGGTAGGAAGAAGAGGATGATGCTTGAAGGGTTTTATCTGTGACTGGAAGCATGTATCCAGTGGAGTTCTGCAGGGATCAGTGCTGGGGCCCTTCCTGTTTGTGTTATATATGAATGATTTAGACTTGAATGTAGGTGGGTGATCAGTAAGTTCGCAGATGATACAAAAATTGGTGGGGTGGTAAATACTGAGGAGGATAGCCCTAGATTGCAGGATGATATAAAGGGGCTGATCAGTGCTAATTGAAATTCAATCTAAATGGGTGTGAGGTGATGCGCTTGGGCAAGACAAACAAGGCAAGGGAGTGAAAGAGAAACCAGAACTATGGATGCTGGAAATCAGAAACAAATCAGATATTGCTGGGAAAACTCAACAGGTCTGACAGCATTTGTGGAGAGAAAGCAGTTAATGATTTGTGTCCAGTGACCGTTCTTCAGAACTGATTGTAGGTAGGAAAAGGTTATATATGCTGAAGATGTGGTAGAGGGAGGGAGAAGGAAGAAATTATAGGTGGAGATGAAGCCCAGAGAGTTGGGCAGACAGGAATAGGTAAAGGTCACCCTGGGAGAATGAACAGCTGACTATGTTTGTGATAGCAGCCCATGTGATGACAAAGCTTGGTGTTTGTGGATTGGGGTGAGGGCATGGTAGGTGGTTTTCAGGCTCGAAAATTATTGAACTCAATATTGAGTACAGAAGGTTACAGGATTCCCAAGTGGGCAATGTGGTATTATTCTAGTTTGCACGGAGCTTCGCTGGACACTGCAGCAAGCCTGAGACACAGATATTGACCAGAGAATACGGTGGTGCGTTGAAATGGTGGGCAACTGGAAGTCCAGGGTTGTTTTTGCAGACGAAACATAAGTGTTCTGCAAGGCAGTCACCCAGCCTGTGCTGCGTCTCCCCAGTATAGAAGAGACCACATTGTGAGCAGTGATTACAGTAGGCCTAAATTGAGTGAAATACAGGTAAATCACTGCTTCACCTGGAAGATACGTCTGATGTCATGGATAGTGAAGATGGAGGAGTTATACCTTCTGTGATTATGTGGGAAGGTGCAGTGGGGGTGATGGAAGATGTTGGGAGTGGAGGACACAAGGGTGTCCCAAAGGTTATGGTCCCTGTGGAAGGCTGACAAGAGAAGGGAGGGGAATATATATCTGGTGATGACATCCCACTGGAGGTGTGGAAATGGTGGCTAATAAACTTTGGATAGATGCTGGTGGGCTGATAGGTGAGGACAAGGGGTCCCTATAGCTGTTGTGGGGAGGAAGCAAGGGGGTGAGGGCTGAAGTGCGGGAGATGGGTCAGACCTGGCTTTGGGCTCTGTCAACTACTGCAATGGGGAATCCTCGGTTGAAGAAGAAGATGGGCATTTTGGAGGCTCCCTTGTTGAAGTTGATATCATCAGAATAGATGCAATGGAGACAGAGGGACTAGGAGAATGAAATAGACTCTTTACAGGAAGCAGGATGTGAGGATGTATAGTCAAGGTAACTGTGGGAGTCGGTGGGTTTGTAGTGGATACTGATGGCCAGCTTGTCCCCAAAAATGGAAACAGATGTCAGGGAAGAGAAGGGAGGAGTCAGAGATGATCAGGTAAAGATGAGAGCAGGGTGGAAATTGGAAGCAAAATTAATAAATTTTTCCAACTCCAAATGAGAGAGAGAAGCAGCACTGATGATGTCATCAATGTTCTGGAGAAAGAGTTGTGGATGGGGCCCAGAGTAGGACTGGTACAAAGGAATGTTCGGTGGACCCAGCAAAGAGATAGGCAAAACTGGGGCTTGTGAGATTACCCATGGCCATGCCTTTGACCTAAAGAAATTGGGAGGAGTTAGAGAAGTTGTTGTTCAGAGTGAGGATGAGCTCGGCCAGTACAGTAGTGGGCTGGTGGATGGGGGTGGTCCAGGCCTTTTTTCAGGAAGAAGCAGACAGCCATGAGACCATCCTGATGAGGAATGGATGTGTAAAGGAATTGTATGTCCATGGTAAAGAGAAGGCAGCTGGAGCTCACAAACTATTCTGAAACTGACATAAAGTGTCAGAGGAATTGAGGATGTAAGTGGGGAGGGACTGGACAAGGTGAAAAAATTGAGTTGAGACAGGAAGAGATGAGCTCCGTGGGGCAGGAGCAGGCAGAAACAATGGGTCTGTCTGGACTGTCCTGTTTTGTAGATTTTGGGAAGGAGGTAGAAGCGGGCTATGTGGTTTTGGGAGATTATGAGCTTGGAGGCAGTGGCAGGGTAGATCACAGGATGAAATGAGGTTAGTGACCATTGTGGACAGGATGGCCTGGTGTTCTGTGGTGGAATCATGGTCCGGGGGGACATGGGAGGTGATACCTGGGAGTTGACGTTTTATCCTCCACGATGCAGAGGTCAGTACACCACACAGCAATAGAACCACTCTTGTCAGCAGACTTGATTACAAAGTTAGGATTGGATCTGAGAGCACAGAGTGCAGTCATTTCAGAGGGGAATAGGTTGGAATGGATGAGTAGTGCAGAAAAATTGAGGCAATCGATGTCACAGTGACAGTTCTCAAAGAACATGTCGATTGCAAGTAAAAGGCCAGAGTGAGGGGTCCAGGTGGAGGGAGAGTGTTGGAGGTGGGCGAAGGGGTCTGTGGGATAGGGAGAGAACTCTTGTCCAAAGAAATGGGCACGGCAGCAAAGGCAACAGAAGAAGAGTTCAATGTCATGTGCCTGAAATTCATTAAGGTGAGAATGTGCGGATTCAAAGCACAGAGGATGAAACCTGAGTTGGAATTAATGCAGGGTGAGTCTGAGCTGGAAGCAGTCACTGAGGAATGTGTTGTGACTGTGCAAGTGAAGTTTGGCAAATACGTTGTCAAAGACCAGGAGCAACAACAAAAGTAATGATGGTGAACAAGAAAAAAGAACAGGAATGCTGTCAG